GTGCTGTGTAGTTTAAGGGAGCAGAGAAGAGTTCTCTAAGGGTGCATCTATACTATAGAAATGTTGTTGTTGTGTTCCTTCAAGTAATTTCTGACTCAGGGCAACCCTAACATGGTGTTGTCTTGGCAACTTTCCTCAGAGAGGGGTTTCTTGGACTTGTTGATGCAAAGGTGTATATAAATACAACTAATATATTCATGAGAGAGCTAGCATGGCATAGAGGGTTGGAGTGTAGGACTACAAATCTGGAGACCTGAGGTCAATGTCCTACGTGGCCATGGAAACCGACAGGATGATCTTGGGCAAGTCACACTCTCTCTATCTCAGGGTAAGGCAATGGCAAACTTCCTCTGAACAAAAACCCCATGATAGGTCTGCCTTAGGGTTGCCATAAGTTGGAAACAACGTGAAGACACACTACAATTATTACTAATACTAGGAGCACTGCCAAAGTGGTTCAGGCACTGTGGTCCTTCTTGTGGGTAGGATATCACAGCAAACCCCATGTATTGACTAAAGATGTTAATAAGTATGCAAAAATCACCCAACCAGGAGTGTCACCATCTGGATACGACTTGATTCGGTGCCTATAGAATTTCAACACTAGGATATTTTGCTTCCAATTTTAAATTTGAAAGCTGGGAAAGGTATCAACTTTAACCTTGGCTCAATTTCCTTTCAGGATATGTTCAGCCAGTGACTGCTGACTGATTATAGTTGCCATAAGCATCCTTCACATTCCCCCAAATTTCCTTTCCAAATCATGGCTGTTAGTAGGAATAGCTTTTGGGGGTCTCTGTGAAGGAGAAGGCTGAGAAGACACTATCAAACATGATGACGTTTCTCAAATGCCTGATCTAAGAGGACAAGTTAAACTCAGATGTTACAACTTGCCCTCTTAGATCAGGCATTTGAGAAACTTCATCATGTTAAGTAGTCAAAGGCAAATACACATACGCACACCCTTTAAGACAAAAGTTGATAACCTGAGCTTGGAAATAATTCATTAGAATTAATCTGGGTTGTATGAGATGGCAACTTAGAATACTATATTCCTAATATTCTTCAGCTAATGATGATATGAAGTACCGTAGGCCTTCTGTTTTCATGGGGGAATCCATTCTGGACCCCCTGCAAAAATGGCTTGAATGGGGTGCACCACCATGGGG